AAAAAAAAAAAAAAAAAAAAAAAAAAAAAGTGAAGAAAAGCATGCCGAAAAAGGAAAACTTAGCATTATTTACAAAATTCTTTTAGGTTTTTGTTAACTTTAATTTCATGGATTAAACAAAATGAAAACAGGAATTTGAGGAAAATCTGGCTCAGAGTTTTTTTCAAACGAGTCAACTGTTCTTCTATGAAAAAAAAAGCTAGTGGAAAGCGTCAGTCGAGTAGTTCAGTTTACAAAATAGTTTTGAAGAAAAAAAAAAGAGAAGAAGAAAAAAGGAGAGAAACTACAGCTTTTTTTTTAGAAATAAAAGTATCTAAGCTAAGTGAAGTGGACCAAGATGATGTTGTAACCTATGATCAAAAAGTAGTCGGTGTCAATCGTGCTGCGTTTCTAGAACAACTTTTTAAACAAGCAGAGGTATGTTTTTATCAGCAACTAATAAAAGATACATATAAATATTTTCAACATATATGTTCGAAGTCATAATTTAGAGTATATGCTTAGTGATATCGTTGTTTTTAATGACACATATTGACAGAAGCATAATCGAGTGTGCAGTAAGAAAGTTTATATAAATTAAACAAAATTATTTAACTCATACAACTGCTACTAAAACTTTTGTCGACAAACTTAGTTGATTACTTCTGAATACCATTTTTTGCGTACTCGCATAGCAGTTAATAAGTAACCCAAAATCGAAATCAAACAGAAAAACAGAAAATAATTTTTATACTGTTTTATTGAAGGTTTTCTTTGCATTTTTGCCGCTGTAAAATTGTATCATCTTTCGCTTATCAAATAAACTCATCGGTTATTCCTCTAATAGCGAATAATTTTAGCATTTTATAAAGAATTACTAATTTAACAAAAGTGAAAGGAAAGGGCTGATTTTTGATGTTTTTTTTAAATATGAGCACATCAGCAAATAATAATGCTGGTCTGATCTCCAGATAATGCGGTTAATCCATTTTAGTCTATCGCTACGCTTCTGTTTTCTTTCTTCATAATGTATTAGACAAGTCACCAAACGAATTTTTTCTTGAATGTCTAAATTATTTGGTAAGATATATCAAAGCAACAATCTAATAAATCGGATATAAATGGAAAAACTTTTGCTGCAGACAGTCGTATATTTTGTAATGACCGGTTGTCACTCACTTTTTTTTTTTAGATTTATGTTGCTGAAGATTCTGAAGATTTTATTGTGGGCTACTTGGTTGCAAAAGAAGACCGCGTTTTGGCACTGTACAGTGATTCAGAAGAAATTGCACATACGTTAATGGAAAAATACTTAAATGGTTTAATCCGTAAAAAGGTAAAAAGCAGATAAAATTACTAGTGTTAAAGCCTTGCAGTTCTTTAGTTTGTCTAATTTGTGCTACTTTTTGCACAAAATAATTTTAAAAGACTGCTGTTTAGGTTATATTACTGTTTACGTTTGAATAGGAGAATATAATTAAGTTTTTTGCCACTGATAACTTTGAAAACCAAAAAAAAAATTTTTGGTAATCGTCTGGCAGCATCAGTTTAGATTCAGGTTTTTATAAGAAAAAACATTTTTAAAGACTGGAAAAGCTACATTTTTATGTAATTAAATGTAAATTTTGGATTGGAAAGCTACATTAACTCTAGCGATAATGTCATCTAAAAGTTTTTGCAGGTGACCATATGCACACGGTTAGGTAGCTGGCAAGTCGAAAAATCACCAAGTACCCACGTTCAGCGCATTTATCGCAGACACACTCGAACAATACCCAGCAACATTAATTGGAACAAGGTTTATGCTCTCAATGTTGGATTGCACATCATTTGACAGGTGAATGTCAGCAGAACATAGATTACTTGCTGTTGTGCCTTCATTATCCTCTCAATCACATATCATTCTCAACTGCTACCGCACTTCATTCTTAATTCGTTTCAAGTTTTCACTGTAAAATTGTCTTAAACAAATTATTCATTTCTTGTCTTTATTGTAATGTTGAATTTAATTCTCAAGTTTAATTTACTTCAATTGTTTTTCTTCTCGTTTTCTGTTCATATTCGGGAAATGAGCCTACAAATTGTGTAAAATCAAACTGTTCACTCTGTTATCAAGCAAACTGGTGCACAAATAAATAGATAGGGATGGGTATGTGTGACTCGAGTTCTTGGTGGAAAAGCTTCTCCTGAATAATAATTTGGCAGGCTGCAATCGATGGGTGTTTCACACAGTGCAATTTTTGTTTTTTGAAAGTGTTTCAGTGCCTTTCTGTTTTTGATGAGCAACAATGCTGTGTCCTCTAACATATCATCCGATGTAATTTTTGTTTTATTACCAGAACCTGCTAATTTTTTAATACATGTTTTCACACATTACTTGATCAAAAACAGAACTTTTTCTTGATAAATTATTCTCTATTGTCATGTTTTATAAATTTTATAAACATACTCAGTGCGTTTTAAACAAAACAAAAAGGAATAAAGAAAAAACTAAAAGAAAGAATAAGTTTTTTGTGCGGCTGTAATCAGTAACTATTTCACA